GAAATATTTGTGAAACAAAGTTATGATACAATGGGGTTTTATCGATAAATGTGTTTGGAAAAGTGCATTTAAAATATGAAAATTTTGTTTAAAATTTTACGGTGTTACATAGACCCTTCCTAAAGGAGATTGGAGAGAATACAATTTCATTCCATTTTTTATTAAAAGATCCAAAAACCTTCGTTAAGACGTTAATTTTTTTCTAACTAAACTGTCTCTCTATCTATCTATCTCTCTCTCTCTCTCTCTCTCTCTCTCTCTCTCTCTATATATATATATATATATATATATATATATATATATATATATATATATATATATATAAAATGATGCCCTATGTTTAACAACCAATACATATAATGATATGAAGTACTCATAAATATACTCAAAATGCATATATTTATGCAAAAAGTCCATAACAAGATACATAAATTAAACATGCCAATAAAAAGAAGATTCAGTTTAGAAATAAGAATTCAATTTCGAAGTTATTGCTCAATCATTTATAATCAAATTTAAGAAATTAGAAAAATACAAATGCTAAGAATTTTTAAAATCAAACATAACTCCATCTTAAAGTCTGAAAGAATCAATGTTGTTTGCTAATCTTTTTGGTAAAAATAATTACTAGAACTATTAACCACATAATCAAAAAGCTTATAGGAGTATCGATAAATTAATGAGCATTTCAACCACACCTTTAAACGGAAGAGTGATATATATATATATATATATATATATATATATATATATATATATATATATATATATATATATATATATATATATATATTAATTTATATATATATATATATATATATATATATATATATATATATATATATATATATATATTAGTTTATATATATATATATATATATATATATATATATATATATATATATATATATTAGTTTATAACCCGTGATAACCACGGTTATAAAATTAATTAAACTTTCTTATTAAAAAATCAAAATTATTAATCGATTATTTTAAATAAATTATTACTTAAGAGATATTTTTTTAATTATATAAAATTATAATCGTTGATTTAAATAAATACGTGGAGTTATATCATTTTATAATTTATATTAATTTTATTTTATTTTTTAATTTAATGTTATTAATTTAATATAATTAAAGGAAGAAATTTTAAATTTTGAAATTTAAAATGAAAAATCAATTATTAATTTAATAAAATTAGAGTGGGAAATTTAAAATTTGAAATTTAAAATGAATAATTAATAGGTGGACAAGTGGCATGATAAATGATATATAACATTAATGAGGGATTCTAATTGGATGACACTTGTCAATATGTGATTAAACATATTCTTTTATTAAAATATATATATATATATATATATATATATATATATATATATATATATATATATATATATATATATATAAAGTGAAAACAAGAAAAAAAAAAGTTGGTGTAACTCATTTGCAAAAGGATAGATTCTGTTTTAAGCCGAAGAGCGAGTTAGGTCATTTTTCGTTAGATCAAATTCAATTTTCAAGTCAAGGGGCAAAAAACCCAACTGCAGGTTCAAGAACTTCGGAGGCTCAGACTTCAATTTTTAAGACAAGTAAGAAACCTTGACCTTTTTTTGGCACTATTCACAAAAGTCAGAATGCTATTCAACAATAATTTATGAAACATTTATGCTGAAACAATAGAACTCTAAAAAGATTGCCAAAAGACTGCCCTGAAAGCAAAACGAGATTCGGGGAAAAAGTGTTACCAAAGAAAACTTACTTCTGATAACTTTAAAAACAAACACATATAAATCGGAAAACTTAAGCAAAGAAAAAAAGAGGCGATTTGCAGTGTTGTTTTAAAGAAATTAATAAAAAACGGAACTCGGTTCTTACCCTCAATATGAACGATAGAAACAGAAAACCTCAGACAATGCCCCTTGATATGAAAGAAAGAATCAGAAATTAAAGTTTATGTTTTTGCTTGAAAGAAGATGTTTAGTCCCCCACTCCTCGGTATATAAAAGATAGAATAAGAAAACTCTTAGGGACTCCTCAGTAATTCTTTCCCAGTCGGTCAGTCTCCTCGTCTTCTTAGGCATGCACTTTTTTAGTTGTTATTGCCGCCTTCTTTCTAATTTCATGTTTCAGATGGTGCCCTTCTTGTTGGACTGCTTTTGTGGACAAAATTTTGGTCCAAGTTATATATACCCGTAAGAGTTGAAAAACATATGATGCCCTATCCTATACTGATGCCCTGGGCAGTGGCCCAGTTTACATTGCCCTTGGGCCAGCCTTGTATTGAATTTAGTTAGAAAAAAAATTAACGTCTTAATGAAGGTATTTGGATCTTTTAATAAAAATGGTAGGGAATTGTGTTCTCTCCGATCTCCTCTGGAAATGGTCTAATTTCGGCCATTGCAATGTTTTTTTTTTTAATGTGTTTATGTGTTCAGAAGCCATCAGTATTGACTACATAAGAAGTCATTGTTATATACTTATATTAGGAGATCTACTGTAATATAAAAGCTAAAAGCTAACTTAGACTACCATCTCCCTAATTTTTCTATATCGAAATGTGTAAAACATATAGATATAGATAATGCTGAAGCAGCCGATACCTAACACCATCGTTAGAATGTTGCCACTATGATGCAATGACACCTAGTTATGTTGCATAATTAGTGCTTTAGAGTATAATATAATTAAAATACCATGACATTTAATCGAATAGATCTTATAACAGAGTCAGGATTGAAATTTTGAAATTAATTATAACTGTTTTGATTGTACATTAAATTTTTTGAACATCTAGATGAGGGACGACATGAACTATGGCCTAGATCCATCACTAGCAACCCACATGTTATTTTGGGGGTGAAGAGAGTGTATATTAGCAATTAAGAATCCTTAGTGTACAAAATAAACTAAATAGTTTTTGTGGTGCAAGGAAGAAAAAATATATGGAATAGAATAGGGGAAGAAAAAGCTTTTAATTACTTGCTAAAAACGTAAAAAAAAAAAAGAAAGAAAGAAAGAAAGAAAGAAAGAAAAAGTACTAGAAATCTCATAAATAAAAAACACACAAGACACCTATTTTTATACTAAAAAAATTAGAGACCTAATGATACTCTAAAAAAACAAAAGTTAAATATGTAACTTTCCTAAAATTTCCCTAGATTTTTAATCCGATTAACCTAACAATCATCCCCTTAATAACATTGATCATACCCCTCGTTCATTGTAGTGTTGGTTCCTTTTTTACTAGATTTGCCTTTTGTATCTCCCATTTAGGACACTCGTTGCTATAGTGACCAAATTCACCACATTTGTATCATTGGCTACTTTTAATCCTGGATACATTCATTAACATCGACTCTTCTCGGACCTACAACCTCTTCACCAGCTGGTCCAAAGGCATCTCGATTTGAATCTTAGTTGTCACAATGCTTACAAACATGTGATTTTTCTTCACTGGCCAACATCAACCCACCTTGAGTTTCCTCCATTTTCTCGATTCCTCATATACGTTCCTCATATGCCTTAAGTCTTTCAACGACTTCATCGGATAACATCGACTCAAACTTGAAGCATTGCTCTATTAAAAATACTTAGACATTGAATCAAGTAACCTTTTCATCAAATCCATTTCTTCAAGCTCGTAACCAAGACTCCTTGATTTTAAGGCTAAACCGGATAAGGTTTTTTTTTTCACAAAATCATTGACCATTTTTCCCCTCCTTCATACGCTAACTTTCAAACCTCCTCTCTAAAGTTGCTAGCTGAGCCGTTATCACCCGATCCACTCCCAAGTACCGTGTTTTTAGCCCATCCCACACTTGCTTTGGGTAGGTGTAACTCACCATTTGCAACACGATACCTTCTGGGATCGCTTGAAACAAAAAAAAAGAGCTTATATTGATTACTATCGATCCGATGTTTTCACCTAACACCCTTGATTAATCCGTCTTCTATATTTTATGTGCATCCATAATTAACTTGACTTTGATTGCCCACATTGGATAATTTGTTAGAGTCAAAATCAAAAATTGATATAACATCAAACATCCTTCTTTAATTATCGACATCATGTTCTCCCTTTTGATAGCACCAACCTTTTAAATATAGCTTGTTCCGAGAGCATTCTTACATCGATCAATAAAACAAGGTCATGACCACCATTACCATTTCCTGCCACCCACAAAAACGAACTAAATCAAGGCCGCATACTTTGATGTCTTCATGTCCATTTATCACGCATCAACTATTAGTTTATCATTATCATTAGAACAAGTTCGATCAAGAGAAATTTAAGCTGTTGTTGAAATGCTTCAACTTGTAATAAAAATGACTAACCCCCTTCAACCATACCTAGTGCCTGCTGCGTCTACCCTGGAGCGCAGGGCTACACTTTTTCTTGAATCCAATTCTCAAACCAACTGCACAAGGTCTTTACAAGCCCTAGACTCTAATACCAAGTGTAAAAAATAAACTAAAACAATTTTTTATAGTACAAGAAAGACACAAAACATATTGAAGAAAATAAAAGTTGAACAAAAACAAGTACTAGAAATTGCAAAAATAAAAAAACACATGAATCTACTTTTATATTAAAAGAATTAGTGATCTAACGAAAGTCTAAAACAATAAAACAAAACTATATATGTAACTTTCCTAAAATGCTCCTAGATTTAAAATCAGATTAACCCAACATTTTAGATATATTGCAAAATAATTTGAGATTATGAGTGCCAATTCTAAAAAAGTTGGACTAGCCCACTTGGCTAACAATGCCTCTAACTAAGAGTTTCTAACCAGAAGGTATTGCGTTCAATCCCAAACAAATACTAACATGGCCGTTGGAAAAAAAAAAAAGAGTGACATGCATTAAATCCCTAAACATGAAATCGTCAATATTTAGAAAAACCTGAACCACATTATCGATAGTGTGGTGGAAATCAGGAGAACGATGAGGGAAATGATACAGATACATAGAATCATTACGCATCGCATACCCTTAAATGCCTTGTACAAATGCATGGCGTCATCACGAGGTGAAGATAACACCCCTGGAACTGTCAATGTAGCCATCTTGATCTTGATTCCTCTTCTTCTTCTTCACATTTCTAGAGCGATCTTTGGAGATGATGATTTATGAGCAGGTGATCCTATTAACACGAATCCAAATCGTGTAATTGTCATGATTAAAACCTGCGAAACCACAAGATGCGTATTAAAAAACATAGATGAGAAATATATTATTTTCTATCAAGCCCTTAACTTTGTATAAAATTACACATTTTGCCCATAACTATAATATCTATTATATTATTTTTGGGTTATTCAAAATATGATAAAATTTCTTCATGCACGGACGATCAATTTCATTTCTCCTATCATTGAGACATTGACACTCAATTTTGATTTTAATATATATTATTAAAATTAATATTGAATGAGTTTTTTTAATAATATTGATAAAATAATTTATTTTGTACAAAAACAAAATAAATTATTTAGTCCACAACTAAAATTGATTGTGTATAAAAATATTAAGGATTAAATGTGTACAAAAATATTAAGTATTAAATGTGTGTAAAATTGAATGTACTCAATTTTGGTCACTGAGTTTTTTTTAAGAATATTGAATGAGTACAAAAACAAAATAAATTATTTTGCAAAAAAATAAAAATTAAGAACTAAATATTAAGTACTAAACGTGTGTAAAATAAGAATTATATTACCCTATTAAGATATTTTTATCGGTTAACCTGAAATAACCTGACATAAGGACTGAATGTGTAATGTTTAACAAGTTGAAAGGGTAAATATGAATGAAAAATAAACCCAGTAACCAAATATATATAAATCCAAAAATATATTACCCTTATCCCTTTTTATTGTATACTTTTCTTCCATGGCAAAGAGAATTAATACTTAATACCTTTTACCTTTTAAAGTTTCAAAATCTACATTACATTTTTATAGTTTTTATTTTATACTTTTATTTATTAATTTGTTATATAAAACAAAACGTACTCTAAATTATTTTTTGAACATGTTCAATTATTTTTGATTGATTGTGAATTCATTAGATGTATTTGATATTAAATAATAAATCTTTATCTAAGAACGTATTGTGATATATTCATATTAATAAACAATGGGTTTATCAAACGACAATATACTATTAGAGAACGTATTGTGATATATTATATATACTATTAATCGTTAAAAACTTGATGAGCAGGAACTTTTTTTCTCTTTCATATTTGGACACGGAAGTTCTTATTCTCATTTTAACGCCACATGGAAGTTGTTATTCTCATTTTAACACCACAATTCCTCTCCACCGCCTTTGACCTCGCCTCTTTCTTCTTATCTCAATTTGCTTTCAATTTCATCCTGTTCTGTTATTCGTCGTTTTCTCTTCATTCCTTTGATGGCTTCCGTAGATTTATGATTCCTTTTGTAGGTTCCGATTTCGATGGTTTTCTTCAACTCAGTATGACTAACGCTCATCTCTGCTCCAATCACAAATCCTACACAGAACCCCCATCGCTCCTCCAAGGCGTGTGCAATTGGTCGCCGATAAACACAGCTCTACCGACCCCATCCCACACTGATGAAGCTCGAGAACAGGGTGTTACTCCTATCATTGGCGTTCCCCTTCACTATAAGGTTTTCCTTTTGTTATGCTTCCTGATTTTTGTTGTTTTGGAACAAACTGTTTGTAATTTGGATTTCGAAAAACGTATGAATTGTTCTTGAATACTGAAATTAACATGAAAAATGAACCAGAAAAGTTCAATAGTTGACTAATGAACGATTGTGTCAACGCCTACAGTGAGTTCGATTCCAAACCACCGCTTGTATCACCTCTTCATCTTCTTTAGTAACAACTGTATATGTTGCTACGATTACTATTTCCTCTTCTTTCTTCATGACTTCTTTTACAGATACGATATCAGATTCGCGAATAATGGAAGCACCACAGGGAGTTGTTTCTTCTTCTACTTCGTCTTCTTCCTATGTTTCTATAAATGGTGTAGCCTGGATGAAGTTCATACCAAAGAATGCAAGAAAGTAGATACATGAGGCGAAGAAGATGATGATGGTAGCCATTTCAGACATGTTGACGACATGGAGAGGAGTGGAGTTTCTGATCTTCTCACACCATCTTATCAAAAGGTAATAAACAAACGAGAAGAAAACTGTAAAGAAGATTCCCATCGGAATAGAGATTGCATCGAAAGCCTTTGGAGAATCCACCATCTTTTTGTTTTCTATTTTCAACATCTGATCTTCTGAATGTTGATCAAATTGAGCTTTTCCCATGTTTTTACACTGATTGTTTCAATTGAGGGTAGAAGATTGAATGTTGTTGATCGAGGATGAGAAAGAAAGATGAGTCTTATCTTGAGGATACCTAGCTTGAATTATGAAGACCCTATATGCATAGAGTCAAAGAAAGGTAGCAAACTAGAAACTTTCATTAAAATAATTGGACATGATAGGGACAATTTCCTGAAATAAATAAATGTGTATATAAACAAAAGTGTGCAAATTATAGATTCCTTGTATCTATCATTTTTCACATACTACGTTTTCAAGAACACCAAAAAAATATTTTTTCTCTTTCATGCACGTTAATGTTGTTTATAGCAATACATACGCTTGGGGTAATTCAGTAATTTCCTCTTATTCATTTCCCGGTATTGGGTTTGTGCAACAAAGTTATTATAAATCTGTTTCTGGGTAGTGTTTAGGTTGATTGGTATTGAAAATCAGAGTTAGCTTGAGAATGCACAAAAGGTCTTCAATGAAATGCCTCCTACAAATAAAGTTTTGCATAAAAATGATTACGATGCTATGTTATGGTGGGATACACTACACTATTCTCTCTCCTCTCCAAGTTTATTTTACATGTTTAAAACAAATCCTATATCAATTATCAGCACTCATCAGTATATTTTGGTGGAGACTATTCGCTTGGTGCAGTTGGGGATATAATCTATCATTGGGAATGCCTTTAAATATTGCCTGATTACAGATTGTCCCACTTCAATAAGGTTAGATTCGATTGGAACATGAAGCAGTTATCCTAATTTTGAAGCCCAGACTTATCATGACTTTGGATAATCTTATTGGTAAGTGGTAACACTAACAACACCATTTATCTACAGTCTGTTCTTGTAATATTTATTGATGGTTATGCTACGATGTTCTACACTCAATTTTCTTTTCAAATCTGTATTTTAGTTTCTAGGGTGTTCAGTTTTGGCTGGATACCGGAGCATTAGTTCTAAACATATATAAGTCCGGTGTTCTTGTAGTGGCTAGCCTAGGAGATCCTTTCGGGAGACCACCGGTGTATTAGGGTTCACTTGACTTTTTAATCTACTTCCATAAACTTCTATAATGTTACTTTTGAAGCTTCAAACAAACTTCAGTATTGCAGAGCACAATTCTGATCAGGCAGAGTTTTTGAAGCTTTGCAAGAGAGTTGAGCACACGATTCGAGCATGGTATCTTCTTCAGTTTGAAGATCTCATGGTACTATTATCTACTTTTATCGATTTTTGCTATAATATCTTTCCCAATTTCAAACTTTTAGATTTTTTTATTAAAGCGTCACTTTATTTTTCCATGGTTGACATACTTGCAACAATTATATTCCCTCTTTGATCCTGTCCAAGGGGCATGGAATTTGGAGTAGCAGAACCAATCATCACAAGAAATTGATGTTCTTCAACAGATTTTTCTGTCATATATGTTTAAGGTGATGGAGAAGAGTAATTTTAAGATCTGCACTAATGAAGAGATTTATATTGCACAATCTAGGCAGCATCTTTTAAACCTTCCTATCATAGTGGATGAATCAAAGGTTTGATGCAGTCATACATACCTCCCTTAAGTGCTATTTGTTGGGTTTTGAGCAATCTAACACTTCCTAAGTGTGCATGCAACCCTAATAAACCTTAGATCTATGTTTGTCTAAATACATGCAAAATAATAAATTTTCCAAGGTTTATAACCTATCTAACATGGCATGGGGAACATTTCAACATAAAAGAGTTAGAAGAGATTACATACCTTTTGGTGAGTTTGGTTCTAAGGAGTTTGAGGGCCAAGCACCAATAGTGTGAATGCCTCAAATGGAATCACAAAACACCACAAACTCTTTGAAAACTTTGAGAGAGAATACACACTTGTATAAAATCGGCCACACACAAGCTTACACACACTAGTTCACTAGTTTCCTCTTAGGCTCCATTTCATGCTCCATAAGCATGCTTATATAGTGTGCATGGTTAGGGTGAAACCCTAATAACCCATGTCTTTTCCTTTCCAAGGATCCATGGGTTAAAAGCTCCATGGATCATCCATGGACTTCCACATAAGCCTAGCCCATTAACAAATGAGTATTAGCCCACACTATATAAAACAAATAGCCCATAATCTAATTAGTCTTCCTTTTAATCTCTAAATTAATTCATAATTAATTTAAGACTAAAACTAATTAAATAACGTAACTTCATATTAATATATTATAACTTATAATATATTAATAAACATATGTGTATAACTCTCATAAAATTATCCATAATAGTTTGGATGAGATGCAACCCAAATGGACCATGCCGGTCGGGTCAAGTATATACCAAATAAGTTATGGACTTAGACACCTTATCCAACAGACTCCCACTTGGATAGGTCTAATAACTGTATTTTCCTATAACTTCAGGAACCAACCAACAATCGTAGCTCTCGAAAACTCCCTCGAACTATGAAGACTCTGTTGAACTATGAAGCGCCATTTTAGATAAGTGATCACATAATCCTCCTCGGACAAACACATGGAACTATGTCTTGCTTATTGTCTGGCAATTGTTTCTCGATTTTCCGATTTGTTTGACGATGAACTTCACTGAACACATCGGTTTAGTTCTGACCGGGCCCGGTACATGGGTCAACACAAAATCATCGAGGGGCCCAGATATCGCTTCTATTTCTAGAAGGAACAGATAAACTTCGACTGATATGCTTGTTCTACTACTTATTGAATTGTACACAAAGGCACGTTTTAT